GACTACAAACTTTAAAAATAGCAATATTTAAAGAATGGCTTTGGAAGAGGTGAAAGTGGCTGCAAGAGAAAGGAACATAGGAAGGTTTGGTAACACAAGAACTTGTGGATGACTGCTCTATGGAATATACTCAGTTGTTAGATATTTGGCATGTGCTTTAGACATACACTGTTAACCTTGGAAAAAAACAATTGAAATGGAGATAGAAGAGTTGCAGAGGATTGACTAGGGTCAAAGGCCTTGGTGAGCTTAAATGTTGAATGTCAATATGAGGTTTTAGGTGAAGAAGATGGAAGGGGTTTGGTTTTAGTTTTGGATATCAATTTTAAGTTTGAAACTGATGGGAAACAAGAGAACTAGCTAATGATACAATCCTGGACAGGATGGGAAATTGATCTGGGTTTCAAAGATATAGCATTTGGGATTTAGAAAACAGGATGCGACATATCCTATAGATTATAATAGTAAATAAAAAGACAACTGATTTAGGTAACTTTACATTTTGTAACTTGGTAGAATTAGGAAATGGAAGGAAACCAAGAAATGTTAATTTTTGGTTCACTGATTTTAGCATTGGTTTAATTAATTTCTATTATATTCCTCTATGTATATGTGTCTTTTCTATCTAATTTATTGGTTATTAGGGATTGAACCCTAGGCTTTGGCACATGTTAGGCAACCACTTGAGCTATATCCCTAGCTTCATAATATAGTCTTTCTTATTGAGAATATTATACTTTGGAAGAAATACTTAAAAAATCCAGTCCTTCCCATATGTGTATACATACTTATATAATATTGGGAAATGTTTTTAGAATTGTTTTCAAATGAAGACTTTAGATTATGGCTTTATTTTTTCTGTGTAATCAGGGGTGGCCCTCTGTCTGAAAATTACTTGGTATATGACAGGGCTAGATCACATATGTTTCTTTTTGTTTGTTGATAGTCTGTATGTCCCTTGAATGCTTTCATAAATATGCAACTAGTCCTTGGAGAGAAGATTCCCTTCCTGGAATGCTAAATCTACTATTGGAGGTGACTAATAAAACAACATTGCTGTGAATTTCCAACTACCGAATGTTTGATCAGATGTTAGTGTGTGTGAGTGTGTGTTTGTTCATGTCTGTGTTCCTGGGGCTTGAGTGTTGGGCCTGGGTGATGTCCCTGAGGATTTTTTGCTCAAGTCTAGCACTAGATCTACCACTTCAGTTTACAGATAAACTTTTTGAGAGTTAATTGTAGATAAGTGTCTCATGGACTTTGAACCCTGGCTTTGAAGGGTTTGAAGGCTGGCTTTGAACCCGGATCCTCAGATCTCAGCCTCCTGAGTAGCTAGGATTACTGGCAGGAACCGTAGGTACCAGGCTTTTATCTTTTCCTTCCTTCCTTCTTTCCTTCCTTCCTTCCTTCCTTTTTTTTATGCCAGTTATGGAGCTTGAACTAGGTTTTTTGTTTAAGGCTGTCTCTTTCCCACTCAAACCATACCCATACCTCCACTTCCGGCTTTTTGCTGGAGGTAGAAGAATCTCATAGACTTTTCTGTTCAGTATGACTTTGAATTGTGTTCATCAGAACTTAGCCTCTTGAGTGTCTACGATTACAGACATGAACCATTGGCACCTGGCTCTGTTGCTAGATTTTGTATACATGAGTTGAAAAATACATTTTTTTTTCTGTTGCCACGAGTTCTTTGAGTTTGCAATATGGTGGATACAGTAGAGGATGAATGTTCCCACTTTCTTGTTTTTGCTTCCTTGTAAACATAAAATGTTTAATGGTGGCCAATTATCTCTAATGTTAAATGACACTTTTAATAATAATATTGAACTTAATGGATTCTTTCCAATTACTTTTGTAAAAGTGAAATTAGGATTAGTTTGTAATGCATCTGATTTAGATTAATGGAAGATAGTAAACTGAGTGTCAAACTCAAGAGAATTTGTTTGGGTTGAAAAGAAAGGCATTTATAAACAATGGCTAATGCACAGTAGAAAGGAGGATTAAAGTGTGATGAATCAAGGATTTGTTTGTAATTTCATTTTGAAGCTTAAAAAAAGGACTTTGTACTCCTACCTCCACTTACTCACGGAAAGAGGGGTTTTAGCTGAGATATCTGTCACTTTCTTTGCCAAAATTAATTCAACTGCTTTGTTTTGGCTGCACAAGGCATATCTCTTCTTTTTTTTCTTCTTTTTTTGCCCTCTCACCTTCTCCTGAGTTCATGTCACTAGGTATAGGCATTCTGTTGAAGCTTAACGGTACACAGCTATCTGCACATACCACCACCACAGCAGTACTGGGGTTTGAACTGAGGGTCATCCTATTATCTATCTGTACTCTCTCAAGACTCACCTTGCTATAAAGCTGCTCATTTATAATTGTCAGATGTTCATTGTAGGAATCAGATTTGTTAAGCTTAAGAATCTACAGTGAAAAGATGGGAAAACAGCAAAGCAATTGGTGGTTACATGGGCTACTTGCCTAAGTAGCTTAGGCTGAACACATTACTATGAGGCTAAAGAAAAGTTTCTCTTCAGTCTTTTGCAGCCACTGTTTTGAGAAATCAACTCCTTTTGTCATGCAAAGTTTTAAGGAATTAAAACAATACTTAAAAAGGTAAATAATTCAAATTATCCAAAAAACGTAATTTACTTTGAGATACAAAAAATTCCTATGTGCAGCTAATCATTTATAACAAAACTGTATAATCAACATGGAGAATTGTATACTATATGAAAGGCTATTTTAGACATTAATTTTCATCTACTTCTCCCTCCCTTCCCCCTTTTCTTCAGCATAATACTAGGGCCTTGCTTACTAAACAATGGAGCAGGTGATCCATCTATCTATCTATATCTATCTATCTATCTATCTATCTATCTATCTATCTATCTATCTCTATCATCTATTCCTAGGGCTTGAACTTTGGATCTGGGCCCTGTCTCAACTCTTTAGCTCAAGGCTATGCTCTATCACTTTGAGCCGTAGTGCTACTTCTAGTTTTCTGGTAGTTAATTGGACATAAGGATTTCCTGGGCTTTCCTGCCCAGGCTGGCTTTGAACGGCAGTCCTCAGATCTCAGCCTTCTGAGTAGCTAGGATTATAGGCATGAGCCACTGATGCCCGGTGACATTATTATTTTTTATTCTTTGCAGACCAGGGGTTGAATATAGGGCTTCATGCATGATAGGCAAGTGGTCTACCACTGAAGTATATTCTCAACTTAAGACTTTTTATTGACAAAATTAACTGTTTTATAATTGAAAACCACATTATAAATTATACCAAAGTTAACATTTTCTGGAAATTATTAATGTTGTATTCCAAATAATAATACAGTGAATATGTACCTTTAAAGGTTGATATGCAGATTTGAAATGGAAGATCAATTAACTTAAATAGAAATAATTAAAAAACTAATGCATTGAATATAGGCTAATATACATGTACTATTGTGAGTGAAGTCATAAACAAACTTAGCTGTTTTCTATTAAGTTAGTTTTGAATTTTTGTGGTACTGAAGTTTGAACTATCCTTCAGTCCAGCTGAAAAACTGTTTTAGAGTATCATTGAATAATAAACTGTTCATAATCAAAGAATATACATTAATAAAAATTAAATTTTGTGCTCTGTCCACTTTTATTTCCTGTCTTTTTTGGGGGGTCCAGTCGTGGGGCCTGAACTCTGGACCTGGGTGCTATCCCTCAGCTCTTCAGCTCAAGGCTAGCACTCTACCACTTGAGCCACAGCGCCACTTCCGGCTTTTTTCTTTTTGCTTATGTGGTGCTGAGGAATTAAACCCAGGGCCTTGAGCATGCAAGGCAAGTGCTCTACCACTGAGCCACCTTCCCAGCCCCTATTCCCTGTCTTATTGTTACAAGTAAAAACAATTGGGAACAGTATTGTGTAAGCCTTTAAAACATTTGGGAACAGTATTGTGTAAGCCTTTAGGCATAGGATTTCATTTATTTTTATTTATTTATTTTTATATTTGCCAATCCTGGGGCTTGAATTCAGGGCCTGCACACTGTCTCTAAGATTCTTTTGGCTCAAGGCTAGTACTCTACCACTTGAGCCATGGCGCCACTTCCAGTCTTTTCTGTTTATGTGATACTGAGGAATTTGAACCTAGGGCTTCATGCATGCTAGGCAAGCACTTTACTACTAAGCCCCATTCTTTGCCACTTTATTTATTTATTTATTTTAAAGATTAAAAACCTAGCTTAGGATACTGTGGCATATTGTAGGTTGTGTTTCCAAAGAATTTGTATCTTTTTACATTCCCACCACTAGTGAGTGAGAGAGAGTTCCATTCCATGTCCCTTTAAACACTTGGGAATGGCAGGTTATGGTGGTGCATGCCTGTAGCTCTTATTATTTTATAGGCTAAGAAGGGGGATTTATGACTACAAGGCCAGCCCAGTGAGTTCCAAATCCAGACTGGGCTATATAGTGAGATCCTTTATCAAGATGAAAACTAAACCAGTATCCTGTCTCTGTGAAAACAAACAATCCCCTTGGCATGGTCAATTGAAAAACTATTTTGAAAACAATTTCCCTTCATTATCTGTGTTTTTACAAGCATAGATAAGTATCATTTTGGAAAAGTACAAATTGTGCCAAATAGGTACTAATTTCTTTTCTTTCTTTTGCTGGGCCTGGGGTTTGAACTCAGTACCTGGGGACTGTCCCTGAGCCTCTCTGTGCTCAAGGCTAGTGCTCTACCACTTGAGCCACAGCATCCCTTCTGGCTTTTTTGAGTAGTTTATTGGAGATGGGAGCGTCACAGGGACTTTTCTGCCCAGGATGGCTTCAAACCACGATCCTCAGATCTAAGCCTTCTGAGTAGCTAGAATTACAGGTGTGAACCACTGGTGCCCGGCATGATTTTTAAGTTAATTAAAATAAAGTTTATGGTAAAAGATGGTTTGCTACAAATATTCGAGCAGCTAATTTCATAATGTGCATACTTGTTTTAACATACGTTTTTCCTTTAATAGAGTTTTCCAGAAAAGGATCTTCTGCACTGTCCATCTAAAGATGCAATTGAAGCTCATTTTATGTCTTGTATGAAAGAAGCTGATGCTTTAAAGCATAAAAGTCAAGTAATTAATGAAATGCAGAAAAAAGATCACAAGCAGCTTTGGATGGGACTACAAAATGGTAATTAATATACTGTATAATTTAAGAATGCTATTTTATAAAATATGATAAAACTAAGTAATTTACACATTTAAAAATCGATAGCAAGCTGGGCACCAATGTCTCATGCCTGTAATCCTAGCTACTCAGGAGACTGAGATCTGAGGATCATGGGTTTTTTTTTCCTCCTGTATTTCTTTTTTTATTTCTTTTTAAAATATTTTTAAGTAGTTGTACAAAGAAGTTCCCATATTACAAAACAGTATATAAATACAAAGTATCTGACAACGTTGTCACCCATCTCTCCTAATCCATCCCTTCTCTCACTTTTTTTCTTTAATTGAGATTAGGTGATTACATAAATTTCACAGATTTCACAGTATTGTGGAATAGTGATACTTAAAGTCACAAACACATTTTAACCTTCACAAGGCAAATTATCATTAGCATGGTCTACACAGTGTGTGAGTTCTATGAGTTTTGACAATACAAGTAGGAACATGATTTAAAACCAGTCCAGGAAAGTCCATGAGACACTTATCTCCAATAAACCACCAGAAAACTGGAAGTGGCGCTTTGACTGAAATGATAAAGGGCTTTCCTTGAGCTGAAGAGCACGGGGACAGGGCCCAGCCCCAGAATTCAAGCCCCATCACCACCACCACCAACAAAAAATAGAAAAATGGCACAAGTTAAATCTATCCTCAATGACTAAATTAGCACAGTAGGTACTTTTTACACACACACACACACATACACACACACGCGCGTCCTTCAGTGCATTTTCTAATTTTTTGGGGGGGGGGGGAGGGTGTCCAGTCATGGGGCCTGAACTCTGGACCTGGGCGCTCTCCCTTAGCTCAAGGCTAGCACTCTACCACTTGAGCCACAGCACCACTTCCGGCTTTTTTCTTTTTGCTTACATGGTGTAGAGGAATGGAACCCAGGGCCTCATACATGTCAGGCAAGCGCTCTACCCCTGAGGCACCTTCCCAGCCCCTATTTTCTAATTTTTTAACCTAGTGCTTAAAATAGCATAAACTTTGTGTTTAGCTTCCCCAGCTGTATGGTTCAAATTTCCATTGCTATATTTAGTATAAATATTTACATTTAATACAACTTTATTGCTCTTTGGTCCAGGAACTTTACATACAACATGTGTTAGTGGTCATTGTTGCATCATATCACATCTTAGTCTCTGTTGGTCCATTATGTAGACTATTTTTATTCATGTCATCTGCAGACAGCAAAATATGTAATTGTGTTGCTTGTTTCAGTTGTCATTTTATAAAATAAATAATTGGGGCCTGGGAATGTGGCTCATTGGTACAGTGCTTCCCTCACATGCATGAAGCCCTGGGTTCAATTCCTCAGTAACACATACACAGAAAAAGCTGGAAGTGGTGCTGTAGCTCAAGTGTTAGCCTTGAGCAAAAGCAGCTCAGGGACAGTGCCCAGGCCCTGAGTTCAAGCCCCAGGACTGGCAAAAAAAAAAGGAAAAAAATGGCCGGGTGTTAGTGGCTCACACCTATAATAGCTGTTTAGGAAGCTGAGATCTGAGGAAGCCAGCCATGGTAGGAAAGTATATGAGGCTATTATTTCTGATTAACCAGCAAAAAGCTGGAAGTAGAGCTGTGACTTCAGTGGTAGAGTATGAGCCTTAACCATAAGAAGAGACAGTGCCCAGGCCCTTAGGCTGGTATCACCAAAACATTTCTGGTCTGGGAAGGTGGCTCAGTGGTAGAGCGCTTGCCTTGCATGCATGAGGCCCTGGGTTCGATTCCTCAGCACCACATAAGCAAAAAGAAAAACCGGAAGTGGCGTTGTGACTCAAGTGGTAGAGTGCTAGCCTTGAGCTGAAGAGCTGAGGGACAGCGCCCAGGCCCACAGTTCAGGCCCTACGACCGGACCCAAAAAATAAAAATTAAAAAATAAAACATTCCTTTCCTTCCTCTTCTCCTTCCCATTCCTTCTCTTCCCTCTCCCTTTTTCCCCCTGACCCTTTCCTCTCTTCCTTTCCACCCTTTCTCTCTTCCTTTCTCTTCTTCTCTCTCCCCCCCTTTTCTTTTTTTGTGCCACTCCTGGGGCTTGAACTTGGTCAGTGCTCTACAACTTGAGCCATAGCTCCACTTCTGGCTTTCTGATATTTAACTGGAGATAAAAGTTTCAAGGACTATCCTGTCCTGGCTGGCTACGAACCTTGATCCTCAGATCTCAGCCTAATGAGTACCTAAGCCACCAGTGCATGGCTTAGTTTCACATTTATGTAGTACTTTATTTTCATATTAATTATCTTCAATAGATAGTGTTGGTCTTAGTTAAAAATAATAGATATCAGTTCCTTTATTGTAGTTCTCATGTCACCAGAAAACATTAAGAATAACTTAAAATAGTTAAAAAATGCTATAATAGTTGTGGAATTATTTGAATTTATGAATAAGAATTTCTTAGTTGTAAAGTCAAAGATACTTCACCTTTTTGTAGTAGAATTAATAATTTGCAATAATCAAGACAAAACAGATGGTAATTTGATTTTACTCAGTATTGCACCTGTATACTATAACAAGTAAACAGAAACTTCAACAAGTTTTGAATACTTTCATATGCTAATTTTAATTTCAGAAGCTCTCTGGGGGTGAAATAAGAAAAGCTTTTGAAACCAGGAAAACTCATTTAAGATAGACTGTGCCTTTCAGGATTTGTTGTGGGCTTTCATTTCAGATATAAAAATATACAACCTCTCTGTAAAATAGCCACAAGAAAGAAAGTAGCATTTTTATTTCTGAGGTAGTTGTCACTAATTATGCAGGCTATTTTCTACTTAATGTCATTTTTTAAAATGAGTTAGAAAATTGAGGAAATCCTTAAAAGAAAATTTAAAAAAAAAATTTTTTTTTTTTTTGGTCCAGTCGTGGGGCCTGAACTCTGGGCCTGGGTGCTGTCCCTCAGCTCTTCAGCTCAAGGCTAGCACTCTACCACTTGAGCCACAGCACCACATCTGTCTTTTTTCTTTTTGCTTATGTGGGTGCTGAGGAATCGAACCCAGGGCTTCAGGCATGCAAGGCAAGCGCTCTACCACTGAGCCACCTTCCCAGCCCCTTAAAAGAAAATTTTTAACCTGACTTATTTTAACTTAATGACTTATCCCTATATTCATGAGTACATATTTTTTAACAAAATACAAAAAAATCTTAAGTTCCATGTGCTTGTGAATAAAGACACAGCTTGACTGTTAAACATGTTAAAAGCTTATATTATTTTTAGTGGATATTAGTTTAATTAAAATTAAATTAAAAAAAATTTTTTTTGGGGTCTGGTCGTGGGGTCTGAACTCTGGGTCTGGGCGCTGTCCCTCACCTCTGCTCTTCAGCTCAAGGCTAGCACTCTACCAATTGAGCCACAACGCCACTTCCAGCTTTTTTTGTTGTTGTTCTGCTTATGTGGTACTGAGGAATCGAACCTAGGGCCTCATGCATGCAAGGCAAGTGCTCTGCCACTGAGCCACCTTCCCAGCTCAATGCAAGTCCAAGTTTTTTTTGGGGGGGTCGGTGGTGGGGCTTGAACTTTGGGCTTGGGCACTGTCCCTGTACTCTTCAGCTCAAGGCAAACACTCTAGCGCTTGAGCCACAGCACCACTTCCTAGAATTAAATTTTTAATCTTAATGCCATGTCATTTTATTTTTGAGATAGGATCTCTGATCGTGACCTTGTACTCTTTACCCTTCTGCCTCTACCTTCAGAGTTCTATGATTACATGAGGTGCCAGTATTGCCACTTTAAGCTGGTTTCTAAGGGGAAATAGTGATTATGTGTAACAATTCAAAATATTTAGAAAACAGATAGGTTTGATAGGTAATATAAAAAGATAAATGTAGGTGCCCCAGCCCTTTGCAGGCTTGTATGCTAGACAAGTATATTGTCATTGCACCTCTTTTATTTCATTATTGGTTTATAGAAGCATAGGTATTCTGAGATAGAGGGCTGGACCTCTCATTTACTGTTCTATGGACTACCTTTATTAGTCCACAGGACATAAAATCTCTCATAGGACTTAAGTTCAAGCACAGGTAAACAGTGATGACACACACTTAAAAAAGGTACCATGTGATTTTTTGTTGTTGTTGTTGCTTTGTATGTCCCTCCTCTATGGTATAACCCCTGTTTTCACTGTATTTGATGTTGGTAAAATTTGGGGAGGGCAAGGGAGAAAAACAAATTGAATTCAGGACCTTCCACTCTTGCTTAGCTTTTTTGCTCAAGCTGGCACAATAACCACATCTCCACTTCAGGCTTTTTGCTGATTAACTGGAGATAAGAGATTCATGGACTTTTCTGCTAGGGCTGCCTTCAAACTGCTATCCTTAGATCTCATCCTCCTGAGTAGCTAGGATTTCAGATATGATCCACCAATGTTCACCTGATGATTAGTTTATTTTTTTCAAATTTATTTCATGATGAATAATTACCATTATTTTCTTTCCCTCCCCCTTCTTTTTGAGGAGGATTTAGGTAGAATGTAGTTAGTAACTTGCCAGAAATAACACAAACTGTGTAGCTACTGCCTGTTTGTGTATCTTTTTCTTTATTTATTTTGTTGATCATGGTACTTGAACTCTGGACTTGAAAGTTGTCCCTCAGCTCTTCAGCTCAAGGCTACTCTACCACTTGAGCCACAGTACCACTTGTGGTTTTTCTGAGTGGTTTATTGGAGATAAGAGTCTTATGGTCCTGCCTAGGCTGGCTTTGAACTGGGATCCACTGATCTCAGCCTCCTGAGTAGCTAGGATTACAGGCGTGAGCCGCCTGGCTCCTTGTATTGTTTTTGTAGTGCTTGATTCTTGCTACTTTTCTGATGTAATAGGAGGAGGAAGGACCAGCGAATGTATTATATATGGAGAAGTATAATATATAATTTGGCCAGAACTATAACAAAAAATGATATAAATAAAATGCTAAGATTAAAGACAAAATTAGAATGAAAAGCTAGTTATTGAATGTTTCTGAGAAGCTAAGCAAAAAATGGCAGCAATTAGGAAGCAGAGATGTGGAGTTTAATGATTACCTGTGTATTGCTGAGTATGTATTACAGAAAACGTAAGAATTTCAAAACTACATAGATTTAGTCAAAAGTTAGACACAATCCTTAGATCTCATTCTCCTGAGTAGCTAGGATTACATGCGTGAGCCATCAGCACCCACTGTATGATTATCTTAAAGCTACCATTACTATGATTTTTTTTTACAGTGCCAACTAGTCTAGTTGTATTATAGGAGACTCCTTATATAATAATAGCTTTACTGTGGGGGAGGGACATACAAAGCAACAAAAAATATCACTTTATGAATACATTAGAAACAATAGCAAGAAAGAAAAAACCACTGTGTCCTTATCTTGAGGTTCATTTCGCCTAACATCATCTTATCTGACCTTTTCTGCTTGTCTCAGACATATAAGAGACATATAAGAGAAATGATGGAACCCATATTTCTTTGGGCCTAGGACACAAGTGGTGTTTTCTTTCTTGCTATTGTTTCTAATGTATTTATAAGATGATTTTTTTGTTGCTTTGTATGTCCCTCCTCTATGGTATAACCCCTGTTTTCACTGTATTTGATGTTAGTAAAATTTGGGGAGGGCAAAGGAAAAAACCAAATTGTTTAAATAGGGATACAGGTGAACCCATTGCAACAATGAGATTACAAGATGCTATGTTGAAAAATTAAATTTATAACTTTTTGGGGGGCTTAGGGGAGTGTAGTTATGGAGATGGGAGGGCAGGGATGGTAGGGGAAAAACAGAGGAGGAGGCAACAATCCTTGATAAGAAATGTACTCATTAACTTGCTCATGTAATTGTAACCTTCTGTCCGGTATTTTCACAATAAAAAACTTATTAAATAATAGCTTTATGGAGTAAAACTGTCAGTAGGAGGCATAAGAACTCTTCTTGAACTTGTTGTCTGAAAAATGAATATTTGATGTGTGTGTGCGCGTGTGTGTGCGCGCGCGCTCGCGTGCATGCGTGCTTGTGCGTGCGTATACCTGTGCACATGCTAGTCCTGTGGCTTGAATTCATGGCTTTAGGTACTGTCCCTGAGCTTCTATAGCACTCTACCACTTGGGCCACAGCTCCACTTCTGGCTTTTTCTGTAGTACTGAAGAATCTAACCCAGGGCTTCATGCATGCTAGTGAAGTACACTAACCACTAAGTTACAATCTCAGCCCTACTTTTATTTTTAAAGACTTTTTAAGACAGTCTTTGAACTTCATATCTCCTTTCCTCTGCCTTCTATTTGCTGAGTTTATAGGCATGGCCACTATGCCTGGCTCAAGAATCCCAATTTTTGATTATTTCGAATTACAGTTTTTAGTTGATGTCTACGTAGTGTCTGTAGATAGACCTTGGATATGAATGAAACAAGTCTAATAGTATAGTATGTGCTCTAACATTGAGATGAACTGAAATCTTGGAGCTGCTTACTTGCTAGAGAGAGTTAATTCTGATTACAATTTTGAGTGTAAAATGTTACTTTGTTAAAATAATATATTCATGGATTCTGCGTGAGCCAGTAAGTTGCTTTAAAACATTATATAGGAAAGGAGAAAGTACACTGTCAAATCAGAATATATATATATTAAAAAAAAAACTCTTAAAAACTCCAGCCAGAAGAGCTGAGGGACAGCGCCCAATTTTGAAAGACAAAGGATTTGATTGATACACAAAAATGCCAATAAGCACTTTAGAAGATATTCAGCATTATTAGTTCTTAGGAAAATGCAAATAAAAACTACAGTGAGTTACTTCTTCATGTCAACCAAGAAGACTATAATCAAAAAGGCAAAAAATAATTAGTGATGACAGTGATGTAGCCATATTGGAACTTTCTTTCATCGCTTCCACCAGGGAATGGAAATTGGTTTAGTCATTTTGGGAAAAAAAATCATTACTATATAGCAGTTAAACAGTTGCCTATGACCCAGCATTTCTACTCCTGAGCACTGCACAAGTGAATTAAAGCTAGACCTTCATACAAAAATGTGTACACTAATATTCCTAGTGGATGTGCAAATGTTTGTTAGCTGCTAGATAAAAACATTCTTGTAACTCCTTATTGTGAAATGCTTATTTTTTCATAAAAAGGAATGATGTTTCTTATACATGCTACAACAAGAATGAGTTTGAAAACATCATGGCTAGTGAGGGAAACAAATGGGAAATGCCATAAATTACGTGACCACATTATAAACTGCTCTGAACTCTGAATTTATTTATTATTATTATTTTTTTTTTTTTTTGGTCTGTCATGGGGCTTGAACTCTGGGCCTGGATGCTGTCCCTCAGCTCTTCAGCTCAAGGCAAGCGCTCTACCACTTGAGATACAGCACCACTTCCGGTTTTCTAGTGGTTTATTGGAGATAGGAGTCTCACGGTCTTTACTGCGTGGGCTGGCTTTGAACTGCGATCCTCAGATTTCAGCCTCCTGAGCAGCTAGGACAGGCGTGAGCCACTGGCACCCGGCTAGAATTCTTTTTTTTTAAACCACTAGATTGTGGAATTTAGTAGTTTAGATTTATAGTCTTATATAGTAGTGTAAATTTTAGTAGTGTAGAATTATAGTATAGAGTTCAGTGAATCCAAAACATTAAAAAAAAGATTAGTCAGTCTGATGTTTAGCTGTAATTGAGAGTTTGCAGTGTCAGTTCCACATCAAAACCTTTAATGCTTTTGTATTTAGTGCTTTCTTAGTCTACAAATATATAATACCTTTTTTATGCAGGTTCTTTTTTATACAAGTTCTGGCTAACATTGGTATAAGAGCCAGATCTCTGTTACTACACAGTGTTCTTTGTCTTATACAATGGTCATGTATTTGGTTTTGAGATGCTCTCAAACTCTCTTTTGTGTTGGTGGTGGGGTTTGAACTCAGGACCTAGGTCTGTTTCTGAGCCTTTTCACAAGGCTAGTGTTCTACCACTTTGAACCACAGCCTCACTTTCAGTTTTCTGGTGGTTTTGGAGATAAGCGTCTCATGGACTTTTTCTCTCTGGTCTGGCTTTGAACCGTGATCCTTAGTCTTCAGCCTCCTGAGTAGCTAGGATTATAGCCAGGAGCCACTGACACCTGGATTGGGATTCTGTGAAAAAATATCTTCTAAGAAAAGAAAATGACTTAGAAAAGCTATTGTATAAATGATGAGGAAGATGTTTCAACAAACTTCATGTCTTCATACAAGGTATTCCATTATATTGCTCATTTTTAATAATGTAATTTGTATCTTTCAGACAGATTTGACCAGTTTTGGGCCATCAACCGGAAACTCATGGAATATCCTGCAGAAGAAAATGGATTTCGTTATATCCCTTTTAGAATATATCAGGTAAGATATAGTACTTTGAAAAAGTACTTTTGCTGTTTTTATTTTGAAACAGGGTTTCATTATGTTCAAGCTGACCTCAGGCTCCAGCCTCCATTTCCTATGTTTAATCATGGGCTATCAAGTCCAGAGAAAATTACTCATTTTTTGAAAACCTCAGACTCTCTAGTCCACAACTCTTGGTTTCATAGTAGCAAATAACTCTAGGGTTTTCAGAACTGTCATTTTGGAGGTAATCAGATGGGCATTACAATGACAAATCGAATATTTGTCTTATATAGAGTTGCTACTGATTATGGTAACTTTCAGTATTGCCTGATTTACCTACTTGCTACAATTTATTTGTAATCCCTGAGTCAATACTTGAAGCTTTTTTTTTTTTAGTCTTTCACAGATGTACTGAGTAGTAAAGTAATTGATTTGCCTGATGAGCAACCATATGAGTTGGAAAAAAATAACACTTTGCCATTAGTCTCAAAATAAATGCCCTTTTCATATTTTGTTTAGTGCTTTCTTAAAACATGTATTTTTGTGGCTTGTGTGTTGGTGATTTTTCTTGTTCAAATTAGTTCTAAGCATTATGCTGTTTTTAGTCAGAAACACATAAAGCATAATCATGTGCTGATTGGGTATTGAACACATGACTCAGAAGGCTTACTTCCCCTTGGCACACTGGTTCAGTATTTATATAATACAAATACAGGACATACTGTAGGGGCAAGGAGATAGAATATGGGTGTGTGTTTGAGAATTGTTTGATTGGTTTTGAGACAGGATCTTGTTGTGTGGCACAGGCTGGCCTCAAACTCAGTCCTCCTGCTTCAGCCTCCTGATTGCTGGGATTCAGGTGTGTGCCACCTGGCCCAGCTCAAGAGAGTGTTACTGTTTTTTGTTTTGTTTTTTTAAATAAAAGTCTACCGTTAGAAAGTGGAAAAGTAGTAGAGTTCTTAAAATTTACTTGAACAGACCTGGCTGGCAGATTGAGATTCTTAGAACAGAATTGCCTGCTGACTGATGTTTCCGTTGTACAGGAGATTGGGTAGTTTCTCCTTCAACAGAGAGAGGCAGAGAGCCTGAGGTCTTCTTTGGTTCTCAGTTGACTAATAATAACTTTTCTTTTGGATCTACACTCTTTCCACTTTGTTTCTTATTTTTAAATAGAAGTCTGAATTGTGAAGAAATTTTATGGAAGTCTAAGAGCTGTAGCTTTTACTAATTTATCATTTTCTTGTTTTTCTCATTTCTCCTATTTTGCATGTTTGAGTTTTTATTCATGGCCTGACCAAAGGAAGATGACCCCTATACTCATTTTTCCTAATTGTATGATCCTAAAGTAACATCAGATTTTAGTTGCTAATTTCTGATTGGTGTGTATGGTTGAGATATTCTGTAATCAAATGTGGTTATTTATACAATTTGATTAGTTGGCATACTTCCCCCTCCTTTTTTGTTTTTGTTTTTGTGTTGGTTTTTTTTTTGTTTTGCTTTGTTTTTTAGCTGGTCGTGGGGCCCAACTCTGGGCCTGGGCGCTGTCCTCAGCTCTTCAGCTCAAAAGCTAGCGCTCTACCACTTGAGCCACAGTGCCACTTCCAGCCTTTTCTGCTTATATGTTGCTGAGGAATTGAACCCAGAGCCTCATGCATGCAAGGCAAGCACTATACTGAGCCACCTTCCCAGCCCTCCCTCCTTTTTTATTAACAGGAATCATCTGACTTAAAATATGAGGAAACTAAGAGCTAAGATTTTATATGATTTGTACTTTATACAAATGAAAATTTTAAGAACTAAGTCCAGACCTAGTTCTGGAATATGAAAGTTTAGAGTGTTTTAAAAACATAATTATCAAAAGTTGATAGGAGGAAGTAGCATTGTAGCTCAAGTGGTAGAATGCTCGCCTTGAGCTGAAGAGCTCAGGAACTGCACCCAGGTCCAGAGTTCAATCCCCACAACCGACCAAAAAAAAGTGTGATTGCTGGTATTCTGTAAGATAGACTTTCTTTCCTTCCTTTCTATTGTGGGGCCTGAACCTCAGCTCTTCAGCTCAAGGTTAGTGCTCTACCACTTGAGCCACAGCACCACCTTGGGCTTTTTCTACTTATGTGGTGCTGAGGAATCGAACCCAGGGCCGCAAGCATGCAGGACAAGCACTTTACTACTGAGCCACATGCCCAGCCCTGTAAGATGTTGGAAAATTGTTCCTTTCATCTGTTGTAGTATGTTGTCATGGGCTCAAAATAACTGTAATCAAATGAGAGAAATACAGTGATAAGTTAAATTCTTTCAGCTCTCTAGAGAAACAGACCATGTTTCTGTCATTTACATAACAGTTTAGTATGGTGTGTGAGTTTCAGATTTGTGTTCCTGAAATCCAGGTGCTTCAGTATGAGCCAGTATTCTAGAAATGAGGTTAATGACAGGAAGTGTTTCAGAAATGTAACCAAAATCTTATTTAGAACATATATCTAAGAAATGGTGATTTAATAAGGTTACCTGTCAATACAAAATGGTTATGAAGTCTTTAGTCATATGCATTTGTTTTGTAATGAAAGCTAGGTATATATCATTTCCATTTTTAATATATCAAGAAGTATAGTGCAATACATAAGTAATTTTTCAGCATTTCACCATTGTTTGTTCTCCTGAAATAGATATATTTTCTCTGTTAAGAATAAAGTATAAATCCTCATAAGGACAAACCGTATTTTATTTTTTGTGTGTCCCATAGATGTTTTCAGACTTTGTCCTAGTAAATAATTTGCTTGGTGTTGATGTGTTTCATCTAAAACTTTCACACCTTTAAAAAGCAATAGGTAAATTGAAGCCTGTAGGTGGCAGCCCAACACAGCAAGTTTTGGAAGCCATTACTGAGTACTCAGATCTATTTAGGCTTAATTATTGCCTTTGAGGGTTTTTTTTTTTTTTAATGGAAGCAATGTAAACTGTTTTGGGCCAGATTTTAAAACTATAATGTATAGGAGTTGGAACAATTTGATGCAGATGATGTGGAGTTTTGTTTTTAGAGCATTGATTGAGAATAAACATGACTACTTTTTGAGCTTTTTAAAAATTAGCCTTATCTAGTAATTTCAGAATAACCTGATGGGAAATATTATGTCTGTCTTTATAGCTAGAAAAATGTAATTGAGCCAAGTTAATGGTATTAGTCCCAATTAAAATTGTCAATGAAGTAAGCATTTTCTCCTTACTTTTTAAAAATAAGCTAGGTCATTGTTTCATTCAGTACTTGTGAAATTAAAAACAGGCATAGTAATTAAAGCTAACTATATATATGGTAACAATAATTAATATTTGTTGTACTTAGTGGTAGATACTGTTTTAATTATTTTTCCTGGATTTTTTTACTTGTTCATCACTATTGGCCTCTCGGTTAGGCACTATTATTGTTTTATTTAAAAAACTGAAATAATTGAGATTAGTATTGATAAATGGAAACTTGTTCAGGTTCACCTATCTAGTAATTAAGTGCGCTCCCCTTTCTTGTGGGTTGCCAATACTGGGGCTTGAGCTCAGGGTCCCTTGCTTAACTATTTTGCTAAAGGCTGGTGATCTACCACTTTGCCATATGTTCAGTTTCCAGCTTTTTGCTGATTAATTAGAGATAATAGTCTCTTGTATTTGTCTGTCCAGGCTAGTTGCCATTTGGGATCCTTAGATCTCAGCTTCTACGAATAGTTAGGATTATAAGTGAGATCTACCAGTGCCTGGCAGAGTAGAGTCAGTATTTGAAGCAGATTATGTAGTGTGGCTCTAGAGCTTGTCTTTTATATTTTAAAATTTTTATTTCTTTAGTTTTTCCCCTTTACTTAACTTTCATTTGAGACTGAGTTTCAGTTTTCATACCTATCAAGCCTTTTATTATCTTTCCTCTGTGTAGAGAAAATGCCTGAGCAGAAAGTAAAACCATAATGGCCTCCCTTTTTAATGTGAGTTTAATATGTAGAAGAAAGTATTTTAAAGTTTATTTTCTCACTTTTATTATCATTTATATTTCACAGCACTCACAGTTAATGTGAGACTTCCTATGGAATATTGTTAGCACTCCTATCAAATGCCAGGATAACTTGTACCTTAGATTCCTGATACTACTAGTCTCATATGATGTTAGCCATAGCAACCTATGCTTAGTCCTTGTCCAAAGAATGTTCATTCCCTCAACCTAATTCAGAAATATCTCTCTAAAGCCCAGATTAACTTCTTTATATCCTATTAACATTTTTATTTCAGTTCTTTTTATATTATGTAATGACAGCCTCTAGAATAATTCTTAGGATGATCATTCATCCTATTGACAATTTCAGGTTTCAGAAATCTGCTTAATCATTTATTTCAATAGTGAAAACAACTAATTTTTTCCTGTTCTTCTCATAAATGATTTTCATATAGCATGCCAAAACACATAACACCTGTCAGGGAAGAACAGAATTACTAGGCTTTGATTCTTAGTAGTGGTTCCTTCTTTTGGGTAAATATGAGAGTTGCTTTTGGTATAGTCATACTTTAAAAATTACTACTGCTAATACTTTCAAGAAGGTTGTATATAAGAGAATATTAGATAATGTGAGAGTCATTTGTGAATATTAGAAAGAAAATCTATTGAAAAGAGAAAGTCTAATTATCTTCTTCTTTTCAGTCTTAAGTGGATATCAGAGTTGTTGGGTCCTGTTTCTGATTTTGAATATTCAAGGTTTTATAGGATTTCATATTTACTTTCCTTTGTAGTTCCTTGCAATTTTTCAAATAATAATTACTGAGATGAAACAAGTACACTTATATGTACAGGAATGCTGACGTGTACACAGATTATATTGATACCACATACACAAAAAGTATTGACATCAGATTCAGACCATCTATAACTTGGTAACTTGGCTAGTAGCCTCTTTGCAGTTTGTGATATATTAATATCGTTAACTCTCAGTTAAGAAATACAATCTGACAAGGTATTGGCACTCTAATTTCTCTTTAGAAGAAAAAGTTAGATT